CTCCAAGAGGTGGAAAATTAGTATTATTCTTATCTTGCAGTTGTAAAAGACGCTGCAATGTAATCAATATTTGTCTTTATTCAGTCACGCCAAGCCGATTTGAATTTTACATAGAAAGTAAGGCTTACGCAACAATTTATGCTTACGAGTGGAAAGTAATTTTACATAATTATACGGAAATTTTGTCTTTTAAGAGTTTTTTCTTTTTTTTTTTCTATAATCTTTTTTCTATATTCTATAATAGAATATAGAAATATTCTATAATCCATACACTTGTGCGCATGCATGATCAACAAGCATACATTTTAAGATTTGTTTAAATTGATTTTTAAAATGTTCAATATTTTAATCAATGCATGGGTTTCCTAAAAGTTTTTCAAGCTCTCGTATAATTCAGCTATATTTTTTAAATATAAATTATTATATAAATATGAATTTTAAATAGAGTGAGCGAAATTTTTACCAATAAATATAAAGCATTAATAATATTATATGATTTTATTAAATAATGTTTCTAATTACATATTAAGTCAAATAATTGATTTTCAATAAATTAACACATAATTTTTATGCAGAATCACATGTAAATTCATGCAAAATTATAAATAAAATCTTTATCCAAAATTGAATAAAAAATTTTCATATCAAATAGCAACGTAATATAATAGAAGCTACTTCTCTACTTACTTCTAGATTTTGTCTCTCTCTCTCTCTCTCTCTTTCTCCCTTACTTATGTACACATTCATATTCTAACTCCTACTTATAACGTTAATACTTTTTTCGTAAATTAAATATAATTTTTGTTAATACAGTGTCACAAATAGAAACAGATTCGAATTTTTATATCCATTACATATTGGATATTGTAATTCCAAAAAAAAAGTTTATTATTCTTCTAGTTTATTAAAGATTGTAGCTTAATAATTATGAAATTGTTTACTTAATCAGTCATCGATTATTCCTATACATTGAATATAATCTGTTATTTGAGTCATTTACGCAAACTTTGTTCAGACTGAAATTAATATCTATCTATATACATTTAAGCTATGATTTTTTCGAAAAGATTTTTTAAAATATATTTAATATTTGTCAATGTATTTAACATTATGCTTGCGCCTCTAACAATTTCGATGACCATTCAAATTAATAAGTGATTAGCTTACAATTGAATATTAAATCACAAGAAATGCTAATTTAAAAAATTATACGTTAAAGCGAAAATTTCAAAGGAAAAAAGAGAAAATTTAAGAATAAATATTTAGAAATTCTCAATAATGTATTGATGTAATTGACAATACTTTAAAGTGTATTTTAATATACAATAAGGATATATAAGAAGGAATGTAGCATTATAATTTATCTATTATATGATTTATCTAATTTTATATTAGAATCTATTTAATACGAATTCATATAATTTCAATTATGACCGGTGCTACGATAATGAGTGTTCATAAATTATTATTTTAATATTTTATAAAGAATATCTTTATTCTAAAACACTCTAATTTACCATATTCTATGTTAAATGAATAAAAACATTATACAGAATTCCATATGGTTTAAATTTTCATGCCATTCTTTCATTATTATCTGCAATTATTACAATTTATATAAGCATATTTATGTTTTAGAGTTTAATTCGCTAAGGTACAAATAATAAAATATGATTGATTAAACTGAGATTTTATTTGTTGTTAAATAGCATTAAAGCTAAATAGTTTTTTTCTCTCTATTTTCAAATAACTCGGAAGAAGTTTTCTTGACAATATTTAAACATTACGCGGTTACTTGAACAATCGATAAATACTGAGTTGTACTGAGTTGTTGAGCAACTTATTAAGCTGATCGAACATAAATTCTTAATAATATTCGTTGAAGGATTATCCACTAATTGTATTTTGTTTTATTTTGACCCAATATCCCTATATTCAAATAGTATGAAACAAAACATTTTGTATTTAAAAAATCCTATGGGAAGCATTAATGTGATTTGCAATTGTGAATGCGAATATTTGCGGAGGAAGTGCCTATTGTATACCGAGTGAAATTTTATTATTATTTTAATTATTATTAATAAAATAAACAAATTGTAATGCCAATTCCCGTTGTTTCGAATTTAACTTTTCTCAATCATTGTAGGTCAAGGAATTCTCTATGGTAATTTAAATTCATATATCTTCAGTTTAAATTACGTTGCTTCGATAAAGTTGATAAGTAAATGTAATTAAGAATCAGTTAAAAGCCAAAAACGCTTAAATGCGTCAGTTAATGGATTATTAAATGATAAAATATGGAGAAATAAAATCAAATAAATATAGATTGAACATAGTGGCGATAAAGACAATATTCGTTCATAAAAATATAATGGGTTTGGGTTCAGGTTACTCAAAATGTTCCACAGGTATGCATAATACGTATCACACGATTCCATTCAAAAAGAATTTAATGTCCACTCTCCAAAGTCTAAAAAAAAAAAAAACGTATCACGTATACGTTAAATATGTTATCAATCACGGGAAATTCAATAGAGGAGCATTGATCACTAAATTCATAATCGCGGATATACATTCCAGTAATGAATTTTCCAACAAATTTTTCTTCTTGCTCTGAGGCAATTTAAACAAAATAAAAAAAAAACAACAACAAAAAAACACAGAAACAAACGACAATTAACAAAGTAGGAACGGGAAAACGATCGTTAATCTATAGATTATCAAATCACATTTTCGGCTACGAATACCTTGGATGGTATGACGTGATTCATGAATGAAATATATGAAAATATTTAATAGCACATTCAATAACAAAAATGTGTGATAATTAAGGTGACTTAACGAGACACAAAAACCATTCGAATATTTCTCAAATTTCCAATGTGGACAAACTCGAACTTTACAACTATTCATTTGATGAAGTAATAGATATTACGAAATAGGTTCGTCACATGGTCGGTTAAATTAATTTCGAAAGATTAAAGCAATTCCTTATAAAAATATATTTTTCAAAGGAAGTGGTAACATGTGAAATACATATAAATAAAAACATCTATGTTAACTTAACGCTTAATTCCAAAATTAAAAAAATAATATAATACATTTTTACAAGTATATTTGGATTTGAAATTATACGATTGATAGTACAAACGGCTATAATGCCCGAGCGGATTATTGTTTGCTGTAATCGTGTTACAATAAAGAAATCTAACACAACAATAGAAATTCGCGTAATCTGTGACCAAATGAAATCGTTGGTAGAATATTTATTAAATGACGCATTGATGAAGAATTGGACAATTATTTAGTATAAATTATAATACGTTTTTGAATATACACTTTTGTTCTGATCGCTGTTGTTTTGTATAAAATGAAAAATTTCGTTAAATTTAACTCCACTCGAGCGACGCGATATTTTTGGAACAAATAACAAATTGCGCATTTTTAGCATAATCATATATCTTTCTTGGTATAGAAACCCTAATGGGTAAATATACAAAAATACGTTTGTTTATAGTTTTAATATATCCTAGCATTAAATAAATAAAATTCGATCTTTTTCAGACTCGTAACAATTTGCTCATTTTATCAGCCGTTGATATTATTTTTACATACTTTACAACAGTAGAATTCAACGAATACGAGTTCATTCAAACTATTTGCAATATTTGTCTACATAACGAAAGTTGTTGATCTTTGTAATTTAACATGATGCAGCACTTTTTAGAAGCGATAGATGAAAAATAAAATTTTCAAAAAAGGAATAGTATCGATGTAATAAATGTTTTGAGTGTGAAAATTAATATAAGCTGATTTATACGAATACTAAGCTACTTGTATAAGTTGTATAATTAATTTAGTAATAATAGTGCCATTGTTTAATAATATTTAATAATAAAACACAAAATAGATCTTAATGACAATACGTATGCGATCATACTCTGAGTAACTTTGGTGATATAAAGTAAGGCTTTAATGTTTGAATTTATAATTTTTAAAATTGAATTCTTCGTTCGATTGGTCTACGACAATAAATACATAAACTATATTGATAAAAATATACAATTATTTAATACGGGATGGACTTTGTGACATTATTTGGGGGGGTGGGGGGCAATTACAGGCGTATTTTAATTAATGTATTTATTACATTTTAAAATATATATGGTTTCAAACCATCGACTATACAATATTTGATTACAAGTACTCAAATAGAATTTCATTAAAATTATTTTAATTTTTTTGTTGCTGTGAATTATACTTAAAAGTCTAATTCTAAATTTCAACGATTGAGCAAATAAATTGCTATTGTTTTTTCTCTTTCTCCCTCTCTCTCTCTCTCTCTCTCTCTCTCTCTCTCTCTCTCTCTCTCTCTCACTTTGAAACGCATAACGCTTATATAATCGTCAATTACGAATGATTTTAATTATAAAAAATAATATTCTAAAGGAAAAATATATATTCGACAAAGTTCCAGAAAACGTCGTGCGCAATAAAAAATTATGAAAATTATATTCGATTAGAACAAGACAATACGTGTGTCTACAATAAATATCTCGATATTTATTTACAAATTTAATTCCAAAATATAATATAAACAAAATATTAAAAAAAAAAATAATAATAATAATAATAATAATAATAATAATAATAATAATGATAGTGTAACGTAATAATGGTTAAATAAAAAAAGCAACAATAATCCGAATGCCTTTTGACGATATTTTTCTCATACTCAATTCCCTCTAGAGCAAATAACTGAACATTTGAATAAAAATAATGTGATATTCTAATCGAATCATTATGGTGCCTTTGACGCCTTATTTTTTTGGAACATTACAAAAGAACGTAAATCGCAGCAGCTTTTTCAACGCGATAAAAATGTATAAAAAAGGTATAACAAAGGTGACACTTCAAGGCGGAAGTTTTGCTTATCAAACTAGCGAAACTTGGAATCTCCGAGGGTCGAAGCTCCCAAGCGAACAGACGTTGCTCGACTAAAACTTCCTTGCATTAAAAGCTCCGGTTGTTAACCACTGCGACTTTGGCTCGCGAATGTCTCGGGCGGCGTTCGCGCACAATTCACTTTCGTTATCCCGGCGATTATCCGAGCCGGGGTACGCGACGCAAGACTGACATTATGAAGCTGTGGTAGAAGCGAAGCTTCGTCGCAGAGGAACGTAAAAGGCAGTACGATTGCCTCCTCGCCGAGGTAAAATAGGCGAGTGGTTATGGGCCGACCCTAACAACAGGAGCTCTTGGTAGGCTCCGCCTCGACTAGATTGAAATCCAAACCTCCGGGACGGGCGAAGCCCGTCTTGATCCCATCCCACCCATCCTCGACCTTGTACTCGCCGTTCTGTATTCGATTGTAGACCTCCTGGGTGACGGTGCGAAAGGCATCCTCGACGTTGTAGCCGGTCCGCGCACTCGTCTCCACGTGGTGGACGCCGTACTGTTCGGCGAACGCCCGGGCCTCCTCCTGGGAAACCTCGCGCCTGCAGCCGTTCATTACCAGGTCGAGCTTGCAACCAACGAGGCAAAAGACCGGTCGGTGGGGCTCGATGTGACGTCGCGCCTCCATCATCCAGCGGGGGATGTGCTCGAAGCTCGTTCGATTGCAAACGTCGTAGACGAGGAGGGCGCCAACGCTGTTCCGGTAGTACGACTTTGTTATGGACCTGTCAGCATCAGACAATGACGAGCTTAATATTTTCCTCGCGGCTAACAGCATATTCGTATTTTTACGCGATCCTCGGTTATTTGTAATTAATCGTTGGGGCGTTATCGAAACTAAATGCAGAAATGTCTCTTACCCCCCCCCCCCCCCCCCCCCCACTCTCGCCGACGATTTTATCAAGTTTTTATCAAACTGTTTTCAAGCGGCAAAATAATTACGTTTCCATTTTTTTTATTTTAACAAGCGGTTGTTGCGATACTTTTACATCGGATCCAGCTTCGTAAGAAAAATAAGATCGTAAGAATAATATATGAGAAATGAATTAAATCAATATCAAAGAATTTATTGAATATTTTTTTGTAAAATTTCCAACGCGCTGATTTTGAAATACTAATTCGACTTGCATATCAGTGTGTAGTTGCGTTGTGTAATTGCATATTAATTTATTAATAATGTGTAATTGTATGGTGTATTATTGAATGTAGCTTCAAGTCTTATGTCAGCTTGTGTCCTTAATAATGCCTTGAACTAAAGTCTAACTAATCGTAACAAATGAAAAATTAATCGAAAAAAACTCTTAAAGTACCCGCATCAATTATTTAGACATTAAAATTCATATAATGATTTTGAAGCTCTAACGCCTTTGTATCGATACTTTCGCTTATTCATAAATATATTGGGTTACAATCCTTCGGATTGGCAGTCATAGAATTATCTAATTACAATAAAAGTATGCAGAGCATAAGGTAAGTAAGTAAAGAAGCTCTGAATTAGGGAGAAATTGTCGTTGATTTTACCTAAACCTTTCTTGTCCAGCCGTGTCCCAAAGTTGTAGTTTGATCCTCGTTCCATCCTTCACTTCGATGAGCCGCGCAAAAAAATCTACTCCTACTGTCGGATCTGAAAGCTACAACGACAATATGATAATATCGCTTAATCGGCAATACGCCAATTAGAAATACGATTGCACTTAAATAGCTTTAATATTCTTTTCGTTCTTGCCCAACGCCCATCTCTTATTAATAATAAATTAATTTATTAATCGACAATATTAGTGCGCGTATTGTTACACGATCGTGCGTAATTTCATTTGAATAATATCCACTATTGTGTTATATAAAATAAATATATAGGCTTATTTTATTAAGGATATTATGTGTCGAGTAAAACCACAAAAAATGAGCGTAGCGCGTGATGAAAAATATTTATCTAGTATTATGAATTCAGTTGAAAATACATTAAATTATTATTACAATTATTGAATTATGCTTATTGAAAAAAAATACCGAGGGTAAATTTTTATTGTTAAACATTCGTTTATTAAATACCAAGAGACTGGTGAACATAACTTGTCCGATGCCATATTTAACATTGCAAATATAGTTATTTAATTAAACAGATAAAAAAATATATTCATAAAAAAAAAATGTTGTATTCGTAATAACAATGAATTAAACGATTTAAAAGACCAAAAGTATATCTTGACGTGTGTTTATTAAATTATGCTTTCTAATATCACTCACTCATCTATGTATATGTGCGTGCTAAAACAACTTTCTCGTCACTTTAGAATGAACAAGTGAAATCTTATTATTGG